TCTCTAGCCCCTCCGAAGTCCAGGGACGGGCAGGGGTAGCAGCGATGGGCTGGGGACACCGCTCTGTCAGAGCTGGGCAGACAGCCTGGTCCGTGGCTGGGTGCTGTAGGCCACAGTCCTGTGGGTGTGTTAGGGGGGTTGCTGGCTGTGACTGGGGAGTGTGGCTTCAGCCGAGGATTTACCCCTTCTCATATGCTGCTGTGAGGTACAGCCGGCTTCCGGCACTCTGCACGGGGTGCCCCAAGCTCTAAGCAGCTACTGGGGGCACACCCCAGAGGTGGCTGCAGCGCTGTGAGAGTCCCTCGGCCCCTGGGTGGGTTGATTAGCACCTGGAAATTACCCTGAGTGGAAACAAAAGGGCCTGTCCTGATCTGGCCCTGGGCCCAGCCCTGCAGGCTAAGCAGGGGTTGATGGAAAAGTCCAGCTGGCTGCTCCCCCGTCACGGTTTGATTAGGGCTTGGCTCACGGCCCGACGTGCCCCCCCTGCCCTGCAGTCCCATGAAGCGGGTTTCTCCGTAGATTATTATTAACGAGCCTGGCAGGGCGCCCGCGGTGCTGAGCGGGGACCGGGGCCCAGCGCCACCGGCTGCCCCAGCCCCGGCTGAAACGTGACTCGGGCACCTGAATGCCACGAGGGTGCTGGGGGGGGGGGAGCCGGGCCTGGCACTAGGTGGGGAGGATGCAATTCTCCCTTCATATCCGTGAAACTGGCTCCCCTGCCCTGACACATGAATCCTTAGGGGTGGGGGCAGGGCCTGACTGTCTCCCACGCCAGCTCATTCCCCCCTCCCCCAGCTCTGCACCCTGGGTGGGGCTGTGCCCACCCTGTGCCTCAGTTTCCCCAGTGAAACAGGGCCGCTTCCTCCCCTCCGGAGAGAGAGGAGGACTCACAGCCCATGGAACCGAGGGCAAAACTGGACATGTGGCCTAGCCCCTCACAGGCCCCATATCGGGCCCACAAGGGAGCAGCTCTGGCCCCACGGAGATCTCCTTCCCCAGAGTTGGACCCAAGAGAAGCAGCAGGGGCGCTGGGGATTGGGCAGGGCTGGTAGAAGCCCCTTGGGGCTCCAGGGGAGGAGCCGCAAGACAGCACATGAACCCAGCTTTGGTGGCTAATTCACCCCTGCTTCATCGCAGCCCTCCTGCTGCCAGGCCCCCACCTCTGGGGCTGCCAGGGCAGCTGTTGGGCAGAGGGGCTGTCTTGCTGGGCAGTGCCTGGCCGGGGCAGAGCCCTGCACATCCCCCTTCCAGCAGGGGCTGGTGCCAGGTGAAAGCCAGCTCTGCCCAGCGCTAGCACTGGGGCCAAGGTCAGTGTGGGGGGGAGTGAGCCACTGGGCTCCAAGTTGCAGCTTTAGCCTTCAGTGGGCAACAGTGTTAACTTAGGCCTGGCTTGTTCCCAGGGAATGGGGGGGAGCCCGGAAGGGGGGGGGCAAGGCAGGCCAGGCCAGGCCGCTGCTTCCTCCCCCTCCATCAGACCCAGCTCCCACGGCTGGGATGCCCCCGGTACATACAGGAGGGTAGAGCGCACGGCTCCAGCAAGAGCTGGCCACTGGGCAGATGGGGAGGGGGAATCTAACCTCCACCCAGCCTGCGGCAGGTCCCTTCCTAGGCTGGGGTACCTGGGAACTGACCCCAGGAGTTAAGAAGTTGGCTGGGCCCCTCAAAGGTGGGACATTCCCCTCCAGGGATGGGGTTATCCAGAAAGCATCAGGCTCAACGGGAGCTGGCAGCCTGGCTGCAGTCCTCCCACGCCCCTTTCATTCACTAACGACGTGAGATTTCAGGTCCCGGTTCCCCTGGGACCCAGCCCTCCAAGGGGACATCAACGTTGCTGGGCCAGTCGGCTCCTCACTTTTATTGGCAGAGGCGGTTACAACGGTGCCGGGCGAGGGGCTGGCCCGGCGGTGGCTGCCACGGAGTCGCGCCAGGCTGGTGGATTCTGCTGCGGAAGAGGCTGAGGAGGTGCCCGGCTGGTGCAGGCCCGGGCCGTGTGGTGCACATGCTCACAAAGCAGCAAGTTCACAATGCAGATGGATACAGAGCGAGCGTTTGGGGCTGGAGCGGGGGGCAGGAGGAAATCCGCCTTCGCCCTGCCCGGGAGGGGGGGGGGCAGGGCAGAGCCTTGTG